TGTAAATGGACACAATACCTTTGTTTTATTTACTGAGAACCAAACCCAGTGACTCACACGTGTTAGGCAAGTGCTCTAACACTGAATCCCATAAAAGTCTCTTCTAAACATAGCAGAAACAGGCATCTTTCTATAATACAAATCAGATTTATCTTTCTGCTCAAAATCCTCCAACAAACTACAAGTATTTACATGATCTCACCTCTCACATCCTGTTGAATTGTTTTCCTTCTGTTTGTCTTTTGCTCATTTTTTTCTCACCTCATTCTAGATGTACTGACATCCTTCTGTTTCTGGAAAACATTAGATACCCTTCTGTTGGAGGGATGGCGGTTCCCTTTGCCCAGAACACTGTTGAAGCCTTTGCACTTCTCTTTTCAACAGTCCTACTCAGTCTACCTTATTGAAAATTAAAACCACTCTCATCTCCTTCATCCTGTCCTGTCTTTCATCTTTCTAGATTATTTACACCTTTAACACAGATAGAATTTACTTTTTTAAAGACCTATATGTGAAACAGTATTACAATAATTTACTTTTTTATTTTATTGATTGATTGATTGATCGTAGTACTGGGGATTGAACCCAGTGGTGCTCAGCTATCACTGAACTACATCCTCAGTTCTTTTTCTTTTGAGACAGAGTCTCACTAAATTGCCAAGCCTGGTCTTGAACTTGGAGATCCTCCTACCTTGGCCTCTTGAGTAGCTGGGATTTCAGATATGCACCACTGCACCTGGCTTATGATTTTTATTTTTATTTTTAATTTTATTTTTAATTTCTGGGGATTGAACATAGGGACACTTGACCACTGAGCCACATACCTAGCTCTATTTTGTATTTTATTTGGAGACAGGATCTCACTGAGTTGCTTAGCACCTCACTTTCGCTGAGGCTGGCTTTGAACTGGCAATCCTTGTGCCCCAGCCTCCCCAAACTGCTGGGATTACAGGCGTGCACCCCCGTGCCCAGATAATTTTTATTTTTTTACTATCTATCTCTGCCTGCTAGAATCTAAAATTTGAAAAAAAAAATTCTTATTTAATAAAGAATCCTAACCAGCTAGAATAAGGCCTGAAAAATGTAGGCACTTAGTAGAATTTGTTGAATGAATGAGTGTTCAGGATTCAGAAATGGTGGTTGCTATTTCTGGATTCTGTGATGGGCTGGATCATGACTCCCCCAAAAACAATTTGATAAAGTCCTAACCTCCTAATGTACATACATGTCAAGGAATGCCAGTTTGCCATTTACCCACCAGAAGAGGCATGAAATAGATTTTCCCTCACAACCTTCATAAGGGAACAACCTTGATTTCACATTTCTAGCCTCCAGGCTGCAAGATAATACATTTCTGATATTTTATGCCATCTGGGAACATACTTTATGATGCTCTGTTAAGGTAGTCCTAGGAAACAAATAGTCTTCAGACTAACTGAGGTGTAAGGGAGGTTTGGAAACTTAATCAGATCTGGAGGTGCTGCTGTAAAGGAACATACAAACAAGGAGTAATAATTAAACAAGAATATGCCCTTAAGGGTTAACTAAATCTGCTCAAGAACCCCATAGGATAGTTGAATTCTACCTTCTTTTCTTCTGCTTTAAGTCATAGGGAAAATTCTAGCATGTATTTTCCATGAAGAATTCAGCTGGCCCAGAGGCTCAGGAGACTGAGACAGGAGGATTGTGAGTTCAAAGCCAGCCTCAGCAAAAGTGAGGCCCTAAGCAACTCAGTGATACCCTGTCTCTAAATAAAATACAAAATAGGGCTGGGTATGTGGCTCAGTGGCTGAGGCTCCTGAGTTCAATGAGGATAGCCAAAATAAAAATAATAATTGTTGGGAAAACATATAACGGCAGCAGCACCCCAGAGAAAAACCCCAACATGGCGTCTAACGACCCTCTTTCTCCTCTTTTTTCTTCCACTGCCAATGTTCAAACCCCAATTCTTATTGGGGCTAAGGTGGGAAGCCTTAGCCCCAATAAGAATTAACTTCTTGGGCTCCAGAACTGACATATGGAAGAGCTTGCCAATAAACGGGCGACCTGTTATCTACCTCAGCCCTGCTACCTCTCCTTAGACCTATATAAACCCACAGCCTTTTGTAATAAAGCGGAACCTCTCCGGTGATCTGTGTCGTGTGGTGTCTCCCATTCATAGTGCGGTTCGGGGTCTTCCAGTCTTACAATGATTCAGCTGGGCAGCATTCAGCTCCTCTTGAGGCTTTGTCTCCAAGCCTAAACTGATCCTTGAATTAATTTATTCATCTGCTTTCTAGAAGATTAGGATCTTCTCTGGTACAAGGCTTTGTTTGAAGGGATTCTGTTCATCCTCAAGATATTGCCCCCCCATACCCCCAGGAGAATTGGAGCCGTGTGTTCTACTTCTACCCAAGCCCTGTGATGATCATGCTCTCCAAGCAGGGTCAGTAATGATACTGGAAGAGGGAGACTCCTGGCTTTGGTGAGGATAGTCGTTGTGAGCTATTAGGGATTTTCCATGGGCTTTTCTTGAAAGAAGGAGGTTCCTTCTACTTGCCATTTTGTTTTATAAGGTAGTTCAAACCACCACCTGGGCTGTTTGGCTGCAAAATTCCTAATAGCCTAAAAGAACAGGTCATAGACACCAGGAAGATAGCCATGTTCTAGTATGCAGTGAGCTGGAAGAATTTGTCACTGGGGAGGATCAGCTACCAGAAGGAATGAGAGGGCAGAGTAAGATCCCAGGTCTGAAAGAACAGAGCAGCAAAGACAGAAGTCAATTCTTGTTCAGTGGAGTAGGAAACTTGAAGGAAATGATTTGGTGTCAAGGAATAAGTCAGGATCGTGGGGATAGAACTGTGAGTAAAGGTTCCAAAGATTCTGGCAATGACATTGATTTAAGGGTAAACTCAAAACGCTCTCCTGAGGCTTTAAAATTATCTTGGTTCTGAACAGGATTTGTAGCAGAGCCAAACACTTATTAAGCATATATTAAATACCTCTTATATATTAGAACTTGTGCTAGGCACTGTGGAGTACAGAGATGATAGGCATTATTTCCAAGGAGATTCCAGTCAGTAGTGGAAAATTTTAAAATAAATGAATGACAAATATAGTGTGTGAAGTGTGATGAAAGAAGCATGACAGAAGAGGGGAATGATGTAGTGGTTAAGAGTTCAGGCTCTCGGTCCAACAAATCTAAGTTTAGATCCTGCCTCTACAATCGCAGTTTGCATGATCTTGAGAAAGCGTGTCTGTTGATATTCTTTCTTATAATTGAGAATAATAGTAGTTTTTACCTATTGTATAAGATTCTTATGAGGATCAAATTAGATCATACATGCCTGGCAGCTAGTAAATTTCCAATAACATTGATTATTATTTACAATAATAATAATAATTATTATAATTTTCTGTAGGAAAATAATGTCAGGAAATGGTTCCAAGGCAAGGTGGCATTTGAGTTGAATATTGAAGAACAAAAGGAAGTTGGCTGGGCCTAGGAGGAAGCTGTTGAATTGCTTTTGTTTTTAAATTATGCCCTGCCAGACTCCTCAAAAGATTTTAGGTAAGATAATGAATTCAATGATAGTCAATTGAATTCAAGATGCCTGTGAGTAACAAGGGATTTTTTTTTTTTCTTCTCCGCACTGGGGATTGAACCCAGGGTTGCTCTACCACTGAGCTACATCCTCAGTCCTTTTTGAGACAGGGTTTTGCTAAGTTGCTCAAGGCTGACTTGGAACTTGCAAGCCTCCTGCCTCAGCCTCCCTTAGAAGCTGGAATTACAGGTGTTCCCAGTGACACAGGATGTTTTGATCTCTTCATTTTAACCCCTTCTACAATCCCAGGTCTTACATAGTTGCTGATTTTTAATTGTAGCTTCATACATGAATACAACTGTTAATATATCTTTCACTTGATTTTTAACACTGCAGATAAAAATAACATAAAATTGAAGATGCCAGTCCAGTATTTTATTTTGATTAAAAAACTGACATTTGGGCTTAGTAGTAGAGTGCTTGCCCAGCATGTGTGAAGCATTGGGTTTGATCCTCAGCTCCGCATAAAAATAAATAAATAAAATAAGGGTATTGTGTCAAAAAAAAGAAACTGACATTCAAGACTTCTTGGGGCTGGGGATGTGGCTCAGCGGTAGCGCGCTCGCCTGGCGTGCGTGCGGCCCGGGTTCGATCCTCAGAACCACATACCAACAAAGATGTTGTGTCCGCAGAGAACTAAAAAATAAATATTAAAAAAAAAAAAAAGACTTCTTAACCCAGGAAAACTGACTTTGTTTACAAAAGAAAAGGGGCAGCAAAATGAGAACACTTTGGTAGATGTATTAGATTAATTTGGTATGGGCCAAAAAAGTAAAACTGATAAAGAAATCTTTGTGTCAATAACTATAGAAAATAATTCAAATTAATACAAAACAAAGGAATATCAGTAAAAAATATTTAGCTGAGTGCCAGTAGCATTTGCCTGTAGACCCAGCTCCTCAGGAAGCTCATGCAGCTGGATCACAACTTCAAAGCCACCCTGGGCAAATTAGCAAGAGCTTGTCTCAATAAAAAAGGGTTGGAAATATAGCTCAGTGGTAGAGTGCTTGCCTATCATCCACAAGACCCTCATTTCAATCCCCCATACAACAAAAAAGAAAAAAAAATCATAACTTAATTGCATTCTACAGGAAGTTAATATAGAAATTAAGTGGTCAAAATTAAATTTATTCCAAAAGATACTCTTTGGCTGGGCATGGTAGTGCATGCCTGTAATCCCAGCAGCTTGGGAGGCTAATGCAGGAGGATCATGAGTTCAAAGTTAGCCTCAGGAACTTGGTGAGGCTCTAAGCAACTTAGTGAGAGCCTGTCTCTAAATAAAATATTTTAAAAAAGGGGTGGGGATGTTGCTCAGTAGTTAAGTCACCCTGGGTTCAATCCGTGGTACAAAAAAAAACTTTGGCTGAAAAGTCATCTATATTAATATAATTCTAACATGTTTGCATTCATAAACAGAATCAGAACATCCTTGGGTGCAAAAGAGTGGATCAGAATCTTCAGGGCTTACCTGACATTCCAAGTGGATGAGCCTCGAAAGCAGTTGGAGTTCTCTGTCTACAGTTTAAGAAATCAGAGATACAAATCCAGATTTGGAACTCATCACTGTGTAAAGTATTAATCTGTTTTATAAGTGTTTGTTGAATGTTAAGATTCTCTTTAGTCAGATCTACAAGCATTATGTATAGAGGAATTGCACCTGTAGAGTCAGCCATTTTAATTTAACTCTTACTGAATACGCAAATGAACTCAAACAGCTTAGAGAATGATAATTGGAGACACTGAGGCCTACCAATGCTTGGGCATTGCAAAGTCGTCCCCCCAAATAGAATATGTTTGGTTATAAGATGAAATATTTTTATCTTTATGTTTCTAATAATTCACTGAACTTTTCTCATAAATATATTTTTTTTTCCTTTTAAATTTGTTCCCATAGATTTCCTCATTCTCCACCCTACCAAGATCATGGAAGATTTAGAGGAACCATTATTTGAAGAATTTGATAATTATTCCTATGCCTTGGAATATTACTCTCCAGAGTCTGGTATGGAGGAAAAAGTCCACCTGGGAATTGTTCACTGGATCTCCCTGGTGTTATGTGGTTTAGCATTTGTCCTGGGAATTCCAGGAAATGCCATTGTCATTTGGTTCACAGGATTCAAATGGAAGAAGACAGTCACTACTCTCTGGTTTCTTAATCTAGCTATTGCGGATTTCATTTTTGTTCTCTTCCTGCCCCTGTACATCTCCTATGTGGCCATGAATTTCCACTGGCCCTTTGGTATCTGGTTGTGCAAGGCTAATTCCTTTATTGCCCAGTTGAACATGTTTTCCAGTGTGTTTTTCCTAACGGTGATCAGCCTGGACCGCTATATCCACCTGATTCATCCAGTTTTGTCTCATCGGCACCGAACACTGAAGAACTCTCTGATTGTTATTATATTGGTCTGGCTTTTGGCTTCTCTAATTGGCGGTCCTGCACTGTACTTCCGGGATACTCTGGAGCTCAATAACCACACTCTTTGCTATAACAATTTCCATGAGCATGATCCTGACCTCACCCTGATGAGGCACCACATTCTGACTTGGGTGAAATTTATTGTTGGCTACCTCTTCCCTTTGCTAACAATGAGTATTTGTTACTTGTGTCTCATTGTCAAGGTCAAGAAGCGAAGCATCCTCAGCTCCAGTAAGCATTTCTGGACAATCCTGGCTGTGGTCATGGCCTTTTTGATTTGCTGGACTCCCTATCACCTGTTCAGTATTTGGGAGCTCACTATTCACCACAATAGCTATTTCCACCAGGTGTTGCAGGCTGGAATCCCCCTCTCCACTGGTTTGGCATTCCTCAATAGTTGCTTGAATCCCATCCTTTATGTCCTAATTAGTAAAAAGTTCCAAAATCGCTTCAGGGCCTCAGTTGCTGAGATACTGAAGTACATGCTATGGGAAGTCAGCTGTTCTGGCACAGTAAGTGAGCAGCTCAGGAACTCTGAAACCAAGAATCTGTCTCTCCTGGAAACAGCCCAATAAGTTTACTTTTCTACAAATCAGTACCAGGTTTTTGTGTTGGTCCCTTGACAAATGCTTCCAGTTTAAATTTGGTTCCAAGATTTAGCACTGACCATGTTTTGTTTTGTTCATTTTGTTGACATCATATTTTTTGTGTGGATATAAAACTTAGAAAGGATATGTACAATGTTTTTTCTGCACTTAATGATCTGTGTCATTCTTGCTAATTATATCACAGTGAATTAATCATCACTGTTGAAGCAGTATTGTTTTTATCTTAACATTTTAAAGACCATAATTGTTAATATTAAGTGACTAATTAAAAAACGTTAAAATGTTTGCTTAAATCCATTTTAATTTTTACAAGTAACCTATTAGACATATTCTTAACATACATGTATACTTCTTTATGTAATCTATTCACATTTGTGAATTAAAGTGACAGTTAATTTTAAATTTTTGTTCCAATTAACCACCATTACTCAATAAACTGCTCCAAAATGTAGTTGCTTAAACAGGAATTATCGTCTCACAAACATAAGCATCAGGAATTCAAAAGCACAGAAGGGAGGTTTGTCAGTGCTTTGCCGTCTGGTGCCTCAGCTGGATTTGGTTGTGCAAAAGGCTGAGGCTTGGAACAGTTGAGGTCTGGCTGAGCAGCTTCTGTCTCATCCTTTCACTCCCCATACAGGGACCCCACCATGGCTCTTCAGAGTGGCCAGAGCTCCAAAAGCCAATGTGGAAACTTCTAGTCCTTTTAAAGGCTATGAATGGAACTAATACAGTATTACTTCCATTGTACTTGATTGGTCAAAGTAGGACTAGACTGGCTCAGATTAAAGGTGTGGGAACACAGAGCATCCCCTTCCCCCATCTCTTGATGGCAAGCGTCAAAAAACGTGTGCCTAAGTCTTATCTCCTGATAAAATTGTTTTTGAAAAATTCTGGATATGTGCAAGTGTGTAGATTAAAAACACTTGACATCCGGATGGTGGATAGGCAGCCCAGTTCCACTGTAATTAGAGAATGCTTGAGGATGTAGATATTTCTATAGTCTGCTCCTACAGGTATAGACACCAATATGAGATCAATATAATATACCTTTAGGTCAGCCTTCCATTTTTTGTGCACTTACACAATCCTCAAGCTCTCTCAAGAAAACAAAGTGCTGCCCTCTGGTGGCTCTTTTGTTACTAATAATCTGAAAATTTCCCCCTTGATTTTAGGTTTAGATATATTATCTGATTAAATCCTCTTCATAATGAAAATTTTTTCACACTTTGGTACTCACAACATAAAATCAGACTGAAAGGAAAGAGCACTGAGGATTTTTTGAAGAAACTGACCTAAACAAATCATTTTAATTTCTTTGGTTCCTGTCTAAAAAATGAGACATTCAAAGATAATTTCCACTGGGTACACACCTATAATCTCAGTGATTTGGGAGGCTGAGGCAGGAGGAAAGTTTGAAACCAACCTCAGCAAGTTAGTGAGACCTGTTTCAAAACAAAACAAAAAAAGGTGGGGAGGGATATGGCTTAGTGCTTAAGTAATCGTGGGTTCATTCTCTGGTACCAAAAAGGGGAAAAATCCATTTTCCAAGCTGTACTTTTATAAAAATTAGTTAAGAAAATACAAATACCCACATATACGAATATATAAATCTAAGAATTTGTGTCAATTAAATGTTAGACATATCCCAAACTCAGCTGTAGGGGCTGGGGATGTAGCACAATGGTAGAAAGCATTTGCTTAGCATGCACAAGGCACTGTATTCAATACCCAGCACCACTGAAAAACCAACAAAAAACACCTATTGGGCTAGGGTTGTGGCTCAGCGGTAGAACGCTCACCTCTCCTCTCACATGTGAGACCTGGGTTCCATCCCCAGCACCACATAAAAATAAACAAAATAAAAATATTTAAAGGGGCTGGGGGTTTGGCTCAAGCGGTAGCGCACTCACCTGGCATGCGTGCGGCCCGGGTTTGATCCTCAGCACCACATACAAAGAAAGATGTTGTGTCCGCCAAGTACTGAAAAATATTAAAAAAAAATTCTCTTTCTAAAAAAAAAAAAAATATTTAAAAACAAAAAACACCTATTTTCAGTACTTGACTAGCACGGATTAGCACTTAATATATAGCACTATTTACTAGAAGCAAAAGGTTGATTTCCAATCCCTAGTAAAACACACCACTCCCATATTCAAGCACCTTATGAAACTTCCAAAGAAAATAAAGCTTATCTAGTTCAATTAGGAATCACTTACCTATATATAAATGTTCCTCCCAGGGCACAGGACACATTTCAGATTACATGACAGGTAATAAGTTCTGTGAGGGGCTTGGGTTGTGGCTCTGGTAGAGCACTTGCCTAGCACACGAGGCACTGGGTTCAATCCTCAGCACATTAGTATCGACAACTAAAAATATCTTAAAAAAAAGGTTCTGTGAGGTGTGGTATTACACCTCACATGCCTGCAATCCATCTTCCAGGAGGGTAAAATAGGTTTTCAAATCAGAAACAGCCTGGGCAATTTAAGACTGCGTCTCAAAAAATAGAAATGGCCAATAGGACTGCCCCAAGTTCAATACCCAGTACTGTTCCAAAAAAGATTTACTTCATAAAGGCATTATTTTAAATCTGTAACATATATTTACAAGTGCACTTTTCCGAACCCAACTTCCCCCCTCTAACACTGTAACATCTTTTAATACTCAATGTTATTTTTGAGATTTGTCATCAAATCAATTTGAAGATGTTGGCTTATGCAGGGCATGGCAGCACATACCTACTTTGTTGGCCGAGGCAGAACTAAGAGTTCAAAGCCTGATGTGGCAAAAGCAATGTGCTTAGAAACTCAGTGAGGCCCCATCTCCAAATCAAATGCAAAATAAGGCTGGCATGAGACTCAGTTTAGGATGTGCGTGAGTTCAATCCCCTACACCCAAAAAATGGTCTGGGAATGTAACTCAGTAGCAGAGTGCTTGCCTAACACCTACAAAGTCCCAAGTTGGATTTCCAGTAACACAAATAAGGGCAGGGCAGAGTTAAACAGACTGTGTCATCAGCATGATACACTGCTGAAGACTTCACTAACAGGTACAAAACTACATCAGAATTGCTAAATATTTAATAAGAATGTTAAATTTTTATTACCTATTAATTACATAGCATTGAATTTCTTCCCTCAAAATGAAAAGGAATGCTCAAGAGCCAAGGGTAATCTTTCAAGCTTTTATTTAAGTGCAAGAATCCAGGATGGATTTTAGATCTTGTTAAAAGCAGCCACGTCCATGGACTGCACATAGTCCTCAAATGCAGTGATCCGTTCCTCCAGCATATCTGTTCCAACTTTATCATCTTCAACTACACACTGTATTTGAAGTTTTTTAATACCATATCCCACTGGAACTAGTTTAGCTAAAAAAAAAAAATTAAGAAAAATCTGAAGTTAGAAAAGTCTTGTTAATGGGCATAGGTTGAAAATATATGCAAATTCCAGATTTCAACTTCAAAACCCAAAAATTAAACTCACAGGAACCCCAGACCAAGCCATCCGCTTGAATGCTCCTGACACACTCCTCTAATTTTGCCATATCCGTCTCATCATCCCAAGGTTTCACATCTAGTAAGATGGAAGACTTGGCGACAAGTGCAGGTTCTAAAAAAACACGAAACAGCATTATTTAAAGTAATCATGTTTTCACCATAATCCAAATATCAATTGGTTTTGGAAGCATGACGTACTTAGCCAAACACAACTAAACAATACATCATGTGTCTGTCACACACACGTGCCCACTTTCTCTTTGGCTAAGAAAGAGGCATATAATTGTATAACAGTTTATTTCCCACAGAGGAATGCCACAACTGCTACCATTAGAACAGCTGCAGACCAGTAGCTGTGGAAGTTTTATGAAAGATTTTGAAACACTGACCTATTCAACAAAAGTGGAGGAAATTACTTTGAGGTCAAGTTTTGAAAAAGATCATTCATATTACTATGAAATGAATGAAGACAAATGACCTACTTTTGGCTTTCTTTGATTCATACTGTGCAAGGCGTTCTTCCCTTAGCCTCTTTGCTTCTTCACTTTCCTGTAAAGAAAAAAAATATATTTCACAAAGCTGGTTATTCCTCTGCTGAAAGCTGGAGGTGGTGATATCATCACAAGACCAGCTTTATCAGAAAAAAGCAAATCCATCACGAGCTCAGCCGAAAGATGGTGATTTGATTTTATTCATCATGTAACCAGTGTGAATCAATGTTTTAAAGGCAGATAATAAAAGCCAAGATTCAAATCCAGGTAATCTGGCAATAACATTCATACTTATACACAAAGATACACTGCCTATATATTTTACATAAAAAGTTGTCATACCTCTTCATCATCAGATCCAAAGAGATCAATGTCATCATCATCTTTGCTATCTGTAGCTCCACTCCCTGTGGTGTCTTCCACATTGGCAGGGCCATACTTTCCCAAAGCTTTCTTCACTCCTGGAAGGCTTGAAAAAAAATTCAATTCAATTGCTATTAGGTTGGTATAATGTCCTTTCCTGGACAATGTGAGATTTTATATTTATAATTGTATATAGTTAGGACCCTTTTGTATTAAGAATTCACTCTTTACACATTTAGCACTACTGGAAAATTGAACCCAGGCCTTTAAGCGTAGTAAGCAAGTGCTCCGTCTCTGAGCTACAATTGCAGGGTGCCCTTTTAAATTTTGAGACAGGGTCTTGCAAAGTTGCTGGGGCTGGCCTCCACCTGCAAACCTCCTGCCTCAGCCTCCTGAGTAGCTGGGATTACAGACTTGTGCTCCTGAGCCGGGTTAGAATTTACACTTTAACACACTCCCAGGTAAACACTTTAGTAAGTCCAACTCCTCACCCAACAAACATTAGTACCATGTGAGATGTTATATTCAATACTCACTATGATTTACTCTTTCAGTATCAACATTTCTGTTTGAGATTTCATTAAGTATGCTCAGTTCCATTCTTAGTGAACTGGAATCCACTTCCCCAAACTTCCACCCTTGTTGGTAGTTTCAGAAGAATGGCCAAGGACTGAATGATTGAGCCACCCTCTCACCCCATCGGTGGCCCCCCCAGGTCAGGGTCGAAGCACATTGGCAGGGCAGTGTGGGGAAAAGTTGAATTGCTGCTGTCCATGTTCTACCTGTTCTGTGAAAAAATGCAGGACTTCAGTCTCTTGGCCTTCTAAGATTACAAAAAAATTTAGCTTACAATATACCAACAGGACTAAAGTAGCCTGGGTCCACTTTTGTCATGTGAAAATCCTGATTAAGCTTATAAAGCAGTCTTATTCTTCAGATAGATACAAAGATACTTTTACCTGGCTTTTTCCTTTTCATAAGACTTGATGTGATTATACCAACGTAGGGCATGGCACAAGTCCGCAGGCGGGGGGCCAGAGACGGCTTCAAATACTGCCACATCTGCTTGTGATGGCACATACCTGGCAAAGATAAACAATTATATGTTTTTAAACGACACAAACATCAGAAAATAAATTACACAGCTAATCAGTCAAGGTAATTAATGGGATATCGCCCACTTATTAGCGAGATGAGTTGCTTAAGTTTTTAAATTATAAGCTGCTTAAGATCAGAGACCATCTGTTTGGTTAAACCACGCTATCCGGACAAATACCTGCCACTTCGGTAGATCTCAAAAGTCTGTGCTCTATTTACAGGCTAACACTTCCTAACTTAGAAAAGAGGTAGAATACAAACTTGGTTGAATCATGAAGTGGAAATAAAGCACATTTTGACCTTTACTCTATTATAACATCGCCCTCCCTGGAGGCGGTGCTCGAGCCGTCCCGGGGTCTAGCCTCCTTCCCCCCTGCTCCTGGGGTGGCTGCGCCACGTGGCCCCGGACGCCCGGCACCAGAAGCTCCCTAGCCGCCCCGCCTCGGCCGGTCCGCTCACCCCTCGATGTAGCTCTTGTCCGCCAAGTAATCATTGAGCACCTGGAGGCCGGCCGGGCTTTTCAGGTCTCCGAAACCCATGGCCTTGTCTGTTACCGGTAGCTGGATAGCAGCGGAGGAAAAGAGCGCGAGAGGTCGGCGCCTAGCGCTAAAAGAGAGAAAAGGGCCCCAGCCGGCCGGAAATTTCCTTATATAGAGATGGAGGCGTTTCCCTCCGCTGCACCCGGCTAAAGGTTAAAGGTCAAATTACGTTACTATTCACATTCTTCCACGTAAAAATTGGGGAGTTCTGAAGTTCTGAATTAAATGGCCCACAAGTGGTCCGCGCACATTTCGGTGTCTTTGAAAATAAATTAACAGAAGGGGCATTTCTTAAATTCGTACCTCCGCGGCTTCCAAAAACTACAGGAACCGCCCCTTGAAATGCCGGAGATGACGGAAGGCGCTAGGTCTCAAGGTTCCGGGTACTTCCGGCGGAACTGCAGGTCCAAGTCGTCTGCCCCGCCTCTTCCGAGCCCTTCGTCAGGTTGACGGGAATTGCCGAATTTAACCGAAATGTGAAATTATCGAATCAGGGTTTCTGGTCCCTCTTGACTTTCCGTTCACCAGGCCCGGCTGACAGAATTAGCCGAGACCGCCATATTGGATAAGTTGCCGGGTCTCCGAGGGGTCAGTGTGGGCCGGACACTCCAGCTGAGCAGCTGCAGCGGCTCCAGGCAGAAGGTGAGGTAGTGTTTAGGTGAGAAGGCTGAGTGATCTCGGCCAGAGTTTTATTTTTTGACGGGACTGCCTTATGTGGCCCAGGCGACTCGTTCTCCTTTGCCCTTGACTGGGCACCGCCTCCCGCTCTGCCGCCTTGGGAACCCCTGAGTTCCGGCAGGTGAGAATGTTAGTTTTGGTTTCTGGTCCGATGGAGCCGAAAGGAGGAGGAGGGTCCGGAGACCCTCTGAAACGCTTGCCTGAATGCGGGCTTGTAAGCGACCTCTCCACTGCAAGGAAAATCAGGAGTAGGCGGTTTTGTTCCTCGGAAAAGCACCTGGGTCACAGTGATTTGGGCCTAAAGGCTTAAACATTTCCCGCAAATTTCCATATGCTGCACCCGGAAGAGTACGTTATTACTTAGTCGCTGTTGCTTAGGCAACTGTTAATGCCTGTGATGGTTGTTTTGTTTTGTCTACTAACCACTTTGGGTAGCAGTTTTTATTCCTTTTCCTGCCGCGGAAACTGACAAAGGACTTTAAAAAGAGTTAGCGTAGGGTCGCATTTATAAACACAGTTACGTTATTGACAAGTTCTTGGGTTCTAAACCCATTTCCTGTAAGATCATGGATCAGACACAACTCTCTTCACCCGTGAACTGAGAATATGGAAAATGTAACGGGAATTGTTTTTGATGAATAAACATCAAGTTCCTTTTTGTTTTTGAAAAATGTTTCTTTTCATTGAGTTGTGAATCATTACATTCAGTGTTATAAGCCTGCAAGAGCACCTGCACTTTTTAATTCCAGACAAGTGGTCTCTAAATTACAGCCAGAGATTGGAGACGTAGTTCACTTAATAAATAGTTCCTGAACATGTACAGTAAACCAGAAGTTAGTCCATAAAGAAGAACAAAATGGGTTATATGGGTGGGAATTTATCAGGAAATTTTAAAATAGGCTGATGAGGAAAGCCTGAGAAAATACCTTTAAGCCAAAATCCGAAGGATGGGGAGGGACCAGAAAGATCTGAGGGAAGAGCCTTTCAGGATGAGGGCAGGTATAGAAAAATGTGGAAGCTAGGAAACCTGCGAAGAGGCTATTGAAATGGTGCAGGCAAGAGGGGGATGGTGACTTGGAATAGGGTAATATTTTGGAGGGAGAGAACTGAATGGGTGCAGAATATGTGGTGGAGAAGGTGGAGTATTATAGTCCCTATGTGGAAAAATGTCGGTTCTAGTTTTAGAGGTGATTGGTCATTAACATTTTCCCAACAAAAGTACAGTTTTCCTCTGTATCTGCAGAGTCCACATTTGCAGATTCCCCATCTTCAGATTCAGCCAACTTTGGATCAGAAGTATTCAGGAAAAAGTTTTGGAAAATTTGAAAAAACAAAACTTGAATTTGCTGTACACAGAGCACTAAGTTGCATCCAGGAGAATGAAGTAATGTGTAGGCATACCCTGCTATAGTCTTCTGCTGTTTAACAGATCTTTAGTCTGTCTCCATAACTTATTTGTTTGAGCACTTTCCACCTCAAAGTGACTTGATCTTACCCATGAACTCTAGTTAGGCCTCTAAAAGGATAACTGTCATTATTCCCATTCCTATCCATAGATAAATATGTTTGAAGCATATTTGCAACAGAAGTGTTGCAAATCTGTATTTCTTATGTTGGAGCTATGCAGTGTTCCATTCGTTGCTGAATGTTCAACAGATAGGCTAATTCACACTACTTTTATATTGTGTTACTCAGATTCAGCAAATTCAGGTTTACTTTTATATGTCATCAGTAGTTTTTATTAGGACAGATGCTACTCGTTTTGGAACTTGGTGATAAGACCATTTGGTCACTGTTTTTGTAAGGGCACTGTGCTAGGGCTTCAGAAAAGGGAAAGATCAAATTCCTTGCCCTCATAGAGCTTATACTCAAATGGGTACTAAAATTGATACCTAACCTGCAGTTAAATAAGTGGAATAATAAATACACACACACAATGGGTATTGGTAGTAAAGGAGCACAAAGGAAGAGTACTTCAGAACTGATTGTCAGTGCCCAATACAGCCTTAATTCAGCTTTCACTGGCAGTTATTGAACTCCTAGTAAGAGCATATTGCTTAGGAAGTATTATTATTCTTCTTTGGCTCTGTACATAAAGAACTAGAAACTGAGGGGCTGGGGTTGTGGCTCAGTGGTAGAGTGCTCTCCTAGCATGCACGAGGCACTGGGTTTGATCCTCACATACATGTAAAATAAAGATGTTCACCTAAAACTTAGGGAGAATAAATACTTTAAAAAAATAGAAACCGAGTTGCCCAAAATTACTGGAATGTAACATGTGCAAATTTATTATGGAATTTATGAATTATTGTAATTGATAAATTAGTGAAATTAAACGAGATCTGAATGAAATTTCCTATTACATATCATCTATGATAAGTTTGCAAAATTTTTGTTTAAAATGTATATATGTTCTGTTTTCTAGTAGTATTATTGCAACTATTGAAGGTGTTTCACTGTTCAGATATTTTTGTTGATACATTATAATCACATGATTTTTATTTTAATACCTTTAAAAATTCCAATGAAAAATGATGGGTTTAGAGCCTTAGCCTTTATTTTACACATAAATGATAATGTGAGTAAAGAGAAAGTTCATTGCATAACCTATATGACCAACTGAGTACAAAAAAGAAATAAAAAGAGTGCAGGTACCTTTTCTGTTCGCCCATGTGTGTCTTTATTCAAGTGGTAATGTTTATATAATCCATCCCCATTCATTTTGGTAATTCAGCAAAACGCAGGGCAGCATGTCAATTTAGCACTATTTATTTTATTTTATTTTGTTTTAGTATTGAAGATTTAACCCGGGGCACTTTACCACCAAGTTACATCCCCAATACTTTTAATTGTTTTTTAATTTTGAGACAGGGTCTTGCTGACTTTCTAGGGTCTTGTTCAGTTGCTAAGGCCAGCCTTGAACTTGCAGTCCTCCTGTCTTAGTCTCCTTAGTCATTGGGATCACAAGCATGCACCATTACACCCAGCATCTTATGCACTGTTGACATTTGGTAACTATTTTCAAGGATTGTCCTGTGCATTGTAGGATGCTTAGCAGCATTATGCCCTCTCCCCACTAGGTGTCAGTAGCTTCTTCCCAGTTGTGAAAATAAATGTCTCCAGACCGAATTGCCAAATATTCTCTAGGAAGCATATTGTCCCTAGTTGAGAACCACTGTTTTAAAGCTTACTTTAAGCCTTGAGGATAGGTACTGAAGATAGAGTTCATCGTATAATGAGAGTATGCAAACATATAATTGCAAATCTATAAGGTAAATGTACTACTTAGCACTGAAAACAGATCTTAAAGACACAGAGAAGACTTGCTTGCAAACTATCTCAGTATATTTCAGGAGCATTTAGGAGGTGACTACACTTAGAACACACACAATGATAGAATGGATGCTTGTAGAAAAGACAGAAAAGCTTTATTTTACACAGTGTTAATGATAAATTCATTATTTTTTTGTTTATTTTTCTATACTGTAGTGATTTAAATTTTATCTTTTCTTTGTGGTTATAAAGTAGCAAAACTGCCTTTTCCATAGTATTAGAAAGTCCAAATTTAGAGCTAAGCACGGTGGCACAAACCTGTAATCCAAGCAACTCAAGAAAAATAAAAGGGACTAGGGATGTAGCTCAGTAGTAAAACACCCCTGGGTTTAATCCCTGCTACCAATCAATCAATCAATCAATCAGTAAATAAATGAAATAAAAAACAAATTTATACACTGGCTACTCCTTCTGAGCTGATTGGCATTGCACAAATCCCTTAAAGTTTCTGAGATTATTATCTGTAGAATTTGAGGGAAGGCAGGAGTGGCTAAGGCAGGAGGATCACAAGTTCAAAGCCAGCCTAGCAACTTGGTGAAACCCTAAGCAACTCAGCAAGATCCTGTCTCTAAATAAAATATAAAAAGGGGCTGGGGATGTGGCCCAGTGGTTAAGCACCCCTTGATTTAATCCCCGGTACCAAAAAAAAAAAAAAGAAGAACTTGAGGGAAAAATTTAATATCAGGACTTGTAAATGCTTAATGGCATATTATATATGAAGTGCTACAAAACAGAACTAAAAAGTTTGTAATTATGTGGGGTTTTTTCCCTATAATAATATAACTCTTTGTTTTATTTTTAGCAATATGTTAAGGATACCTGTTAGAAGGGCCTTAATGGGCCTTTCTAAGTCTCCTAAAGGATATGGTAAGTTGTGTTTTGTTTTTACATTTGTGTATATGAGACTTTATCTTTGTAAAAATTGGTCTAAACCTTATACCCGTAACATGTTTTAAATAAAAATAGTGTTTACTTCAGCAGCATGTATACTAAAATTGGAACGAGACAGAGAAGATTAGCATAACCCCTGTGCAAGGATGACATATAAATTTGTGAAGCATTCCATATTTTCATGTATGTACAATATGTCCAAATATACTCTACTGTAATATATATCTAAAAAGAAAAAATTTTAAAAATAGAGACAAATTATTTAAGTTGACAGAATAATTTTCAGAATAAAACTGTGGGGGGGGGGGAGCATAGTGGTGAAAGCCTATAATTCCAGCAGCTTGGGAGGCTGAGGCAGGAGGATTACAAGTTCAAAGCCAGCTTCAGCAACTTAGTGAGGCCCTAAGCAACTCAGCAAGACTTTGTCTCTAAATAAGATATTAAAAAGGGCTGGAGATGTGGCTCAGTGGTTAAGAGCCCCTGGGTTCAATCCTTGGTACCAAAAATAAATGAATAAATAAAAGTAGACAATCGTACTTTGATATTCAGGCTTGAAAAGGCTTTTTTCCCCTAATTCAATATTAAAAGTTTATATCTAGAGAAATAAGAAATAAGTATGAAATGAAGAAACATTTTGAATGCAGTGTTTATGTGATGTTAATTTTTCACCTCATTGTTTTGATGGTCAGTTCGAACCACTGCCACAGCAGCAAGCAACTTGATTGAAGTATTCGTTGATGGTCAGTCTGTCATGGTGGAACCAGGGACTACTGTCCTCCAAGTAAGCATATATTCTAATTCTTTATTTTTGTGAGTGTGTTCTTCAATTAAAAAAAAAAAAGTAATTCCTTTATATTGTTTATTCTAAAAAAAAAACCCACTACATATAACAACATTATATGACACTAGTTGGATTTTCAGTTGTGATATTTCAAAGTAAACTATCATTTATATGTGTTTGACAGTCTTAGTTAACTATGGTGGTAGTTCTTTTGTTTCACTTCTGCCTTCCAAATGATACCCATCAAGAAATTTGAAGTTCTCTAAAATAAACTTTTGGTTACTATAGGTAAGTGGGAAAATGTAACCTTAGTTTGTTGTGGGCCTGCTTGATGCTTTTAACTTTCATGTAACTTGAATTTTAATAATTTCTAGGAATGTGTCCTATAATGCAGGTATGTAGATGGTGGAATATTCTTGAATTCATGCCTTAAATACTCAATGTTCCAACTTCCCCCAGAAATATAACAGATTTGGTCATGAGAAGTGATGCTTCATTCCATCTGCAGATCAGCACAGAACTAAATGTTCATTGTTTATTTCAGCAGTCATTTCTAGATTATCTGTGAGGCATTGATACAAAGCACTAAATATATAACAAAAATATGTTCAAGGTGCAATGGAAAGTATTTTGGCATAGAATAGGTGGTAGCAGAAAAAGATGTCAGGGGCATCTCACACAATCCCTGAGGAAGTTTTAAAGGATGAGTAGGTATGTTTATATGTGAATAAGGACAGTGTGCATTTTCTGTGGAAAAATAATTAAGGCAGATAACTTGTATTTAGGAAGCCTCAAATAGTTTGGTATTGATAAAACATGAGGTATATGTAGGAAATGAGATAGCAGAAAATCAAGGTATGAGAAGGGGTAGGGCTAGTCATGAAATAAAATGTTTGCCAATTAAAGAGCTTGTTGTTGGACCTTTGGAAAATTTGAAAGCTAGTAAGCACTTGAGGGCTGGGGATGTGGCTCAAGTGGTAGCACGCTCGTCTGGCATGTGAGCGGCCCGGGTTCGACCCTCAGCACCACATACAAAGATGTTGTGTCTGCCAAGAATAAAAAATAAATAAATAAATATTAAAATTTAAAAAAAAAAAAAAAGAAAGCTAGTAAGCACTTGAGGGCTGGGGATGTGGCTCAAGTGGTAGCACGCTCGTCTGGCATGTGAGCGGCCCGGGTTCGACCCTCAGCACCACATACAAAGATGTTGTGTCTGCCAAGAATAAAAAATAAATAAATAAATATTAAAATTTAAAAAAAAAAAAAAAGAAAGCTAGTAAGCACTTGACAATGACTGTAGAGGATGATAGTTTGGAGAACAGCAAAACCAGTGTGGGAAAAGGAAAAAAATATCTTGTATTTATGAAACACTAAATTTTAAAAAGCCTAAAATAGATAGTAGTAGTGGAATTGAAAACAAGAAGGATGTATTCAAGGGATAATAAGACACAGATAAACAGGCCTTTAGACCTGATAGAGAACAGGAGTTTTTTTGTTTGTTTGTTTAAATGGGTTTTTGTTTTTTAGCTTATTTGTATGTAGAACTACATATTCAAATGCCTATTTAAGTCTGAAGTTTAGAGAAGTGAAATATCTGGACTATGGCTAAAGGTTTAAGTTTAGTCATCATGTAGAATGTGAACTAGTATGAAGGCTATGACAGTGTCTCATTTTTATACCTGCTGCATCTAGCACATTTTTGTGGACTAAGTGGTTAAACACATTTTCCCTAACTAAATAGTTAAAAAATTGAAAGTTGATAAGATTAGAGTGAGAGCAGAGGATTGAAGAACTAGTGTAGAGGAAATCTGAACATGTTTATAGACTAATAGAAGAAGGAACTTGCAGAGAAGGAGGGTAGTAATTGGTAGAGTGAAGCTAATTCCTCTCTCTTGGCAAAAAGAAACTGGGAAGAGCTTCAGCTAGTGTAAGAATGTGAGTCCTGGGCTGGGTATATGGAGCCAAAGACAGAACTAGATAATAGCCAGCTAGATGATGTGAGAGGTATCTCTAATCCAAAAGAAGGAAAGAAGGAAGTCCATATATGAAACCACTGGAACAGAGTTTAAAGGGGAGCCTTTGTAGACAATGCTTTAGAACATATGTGGGAAGTCAGTCTGAGAATACTTTATCCAGTTTCTCTTTCACATAAGATCAAGGCATGATGATGGGCAGCTTCAGCGCCAACAGGGGTGCAAATCAAGAATCAAAAAAGGAGGGTATCAGAAATGAAATAAGAATGGGTGAAGATACAGATATTATGGACAGGAAAAATAAAGTGGCCTCCCCACCCCCTTCTATTTTGACAAGAACCGAAATGAAGTCAGATTATTCCAGTGCTGATTTTGGCGGGGGTAGGGGGAATACTGGGGATTGAACCCAGGGATGCTTAACCACTGAGCCACATCCCTGGCCCTTTTTATTTTATTTTATTTTATTTTATTGAGACATGGTCTTGCTAAGTCGCTAAGCCTGCCTTTGAACTTGTGATCCCCCTTCTTCAACCTCCCAAGTCATTGAGCTTACAGGTGTACATCAAGACATCTGGCTCTAATGCAAATTTTTAAAAAATTTTGTCTTATAGGCTTGTGAGAAGGTTGGCATGCAGATCCCTCGATTTTGTTATCACGAAAGGTTATCTGTTGCTGGAAACTGCAGGATGTGCCTTGTTGAAATTGAGAAAGCTCCTAAGGTACTTAATTCCTATAATTCCACACCATTCTGTAGAAGGCAGAAAACAGTAAATCTTGCCACAAACTTTATTTAAAGTCAATACTGTCGTAGAGGAGAACTTAGCCCTGTTTACTTATTATCTGCAAATTCAATGTGTTTTTGGGGGAGGCACAGTTGACTTATTTTGTTTCAAAACTAGAAATACATTGATAGAAGTGCCTTATGAATCTAAGTGCCATATAATTGTAATGGGTCTAGAAATTAAATGTGATTTGCCAAGTAGCACATTTAAAGTGGTTATGTGGTACCATTTTCACTCAAGAGAAGGGTTGTAATGAAGAAGTTCACTTTGAGTAGTTTAATTGCATTTTGGTGGTTAGTAGCACCTACAAATGAAAGTATAGTTTTATGATGTTCTGTTTTACAGCAGAATAAAAAAAATGCATCAGCTATTAGAATATATTTAAGAAATAGAGTGTCTTAGTTTGTTTTGTTTTGCTATTTAAAAATATATATCTGAGACTAGGTACTTTATGATCTTTTTATAAAGAGATTATTCAGCTCACAGTTGAGATGCTAAAAGTCCCAAAATGAGGCATTCCTGTCTGGCTGCCTTTTGCTGAGAGGATCTCTGGTAGCTTCATAACCGTGGCAAAAGAGGAAGCAAGAGACCAGGGTGGGGTCTCACCTTGCTTTTTATAATAACACACTAACTGGAACTAATCTACTCCTCTGAGACCTAACCTCAGAGACCAGCATTAATCTGTTGGAATTCTATAACCTTCCATTAGGCTCTACCTCTTAAGAGGTCCCTCCACCTTTCAATACCATTAGTCTGGGGACCATGCTTCCAGCACCTAAACCTTTGGAGGATAAATCATGTCCAAATCATAGCAATATCTTAATTGTTTATAGGAAGAATGTGAAATACCAGATTATCCATATTATAACAATGAAAAGTTGGAAAATTCTATCTGGAAAAATATTGTTTTTTGCTTGTTTATTTTTTAGTTTTTAGTTTTAGTTGGACACAATATGTTCATTTTACATTTATGTGGTGCTGAGGATCGAACCCAGTGCCTCATGCATGCTAGGCGAGCACTCTACCGCTGAGCCACTACCCCAGCCCCATGCTTGTTTTTGAATATATAACTTAATGCTGTTATGTAATTTAATGTTAAATATAGATATGAATTTTTCTGTTGAAATTCCAGGTTGTAGCTGCTTGTGCTATGCCAGTAATGAAGGGTTGGAATATCCTGACAAACTCAGAAAAATCTAAGAAAGCCAGGTACTTTGTTGTTATTAATGTAGTAGACTTTCTTAACATGATATTTAGACCTCCCATTGACTAGAAATTTAGTATCTAACTCTGAAGAAGTTGGTATGCTTGGCTTATAAAAGTAATGGAGATAAGTACACGTATAAGGAAGTCAAGTCAGGGATTTATGGAATTAACTTTAAAATGGAATCATCATTTAAGACCCTTGTTTAGTAACTTGCTCAAGTTGTGATGAAAAAGAATTTAGATTTAATTTAGTACAATTATTATTAGTAATCGTACTAAATTAAATCTAATTTAATTTTCAGAAGCCCTTTCAACAACTTTTAACAATATATATACTTATATATTGTTAAAAGTTACAATTTCCTAGATTCTCTAGTGATATTTTATTCAAGACTCTTATAAACAGTTTTCAAATTTTGTTTAGTACTTCCAGAATGAT